TGAGTGAAAATTAGAACAATGTGTTCAATAGCTCCATGTGTTATCAATTCCACATAGACATGAACAAACTTGATACGTTGTTTATATTAAATAATTATGTATTCAAGCATTTGGGATAGAAAACTCGAATGGATTTTTCAAAGGGATACCTGATATACAATATTCTATCATTAAAATTTGAAATTAGAAAAAGGTACGAAAAGTTTTTCGCCGCTGTGAAAACCAAACCCACGTCTTGGATTCGGGCCGTGACGCTTTAGCTACTAAGCTAAAAGGCTGATTGCCACACCGACGAAGATCTTAACGTATTTCATCCACATTGTTCTTTAGCATTTGCAGCAATGCTCAATTGAAATTAAATGAATAGTCTATCATGCTAAGGAATCTTCTCTAAAAAACATGTTTATCGTCATTTTGACAACCCCCCGATAGGGAAACGCGTTTCAACAAGTTGGTATTAATAACACAAGAGCTGCGGTCGGCCGCGACGCAGTCCCGTATCGAGTTACCTGACGAACGAGCATCGCTAATGAGCTGGAACCACGTGAGAGGGTGGACCTTTCCACCAGCAGAACTATCACGTGTCGGCAAAGAAATGAAGCGACAGAATAATACCTAGAGCTTCACAAAACACCGAAGACCTAATCGCATCTTCTAGAAGTGGATCCTGTTTGTCCCACTCATCAGATAACACACATAACACTTCCGCTCCACGCCGGTCTACCGTTAGGTCGTGGTATCCCGGGACCAGTCCATTCGTACCCAATCAAATCAAATTTAAGTAAGAAATATACCTTTCATCTATCGGAAATATTTTGTTTAAATGTACCACCGTTTCATAATGAGGTTCGTTTTTTTATGCGAAAAGTTGCCAAGCGAGCAGACGGTTCACCTGATTTTAAGTGAATACCGCCGCCCATGGACATCTGGTACACCCGAGGGCTACAGATGCGTTGACAACCTTTTGAAAATTGGGCTCCGGCCACCTCACTCACCAGACGAAACGCGAAAGTGTAATACTTTCACTTTACGCCAGTCTTCTGTGAGGTCGTGGTACTTACCCGGACGAGCCTGCCCGTTCGTGCAACAGCCGAGGCTGCTGCGTGGCTCTACCACAGTTAAAAAGGTTCCTTAACGGAGAAGAAACCGGCGAAAGAAACTCCGTAGGTATCCTCTTTTTTGGGCGCGAAAACTGATGCGTGGCCCTACCACTGTTACGTCATACACTATGTACCACTGTTATGTTCCGTTCCATTATCTAATAAAACAACAATAAAAAAATCATGACTGTTGTATGGGGCTTAAGTGGGTAGTGGGGCTTAAATATTTTTCATTCTGTTTTTTAGTATTTGCAGAAATACATCATCTGTGAAAATTTCAACTGTCTAACTATCACGGTTCATGAGATACAGCCTGGGCAGACAGACAGGCAGACAGCGGAGTCTTAGTAGTAGGGTCCCGTTTAGGGTTCAGTACCAGGGACAGGTAAGGAACCCTGAAAATAAATTCTAGCGTGCCAACGGCATTTGAAAACGCGTTCTCACACCATTTGTTCTTGTCCAGGCTATAACAATACGAGTTCTTTGTGAGAAGTTGTGAATAAAAACAGAAACAAAACAACTATCAATACGAAGAAAATGTCGTAAAATGACTCAATTCGTATTTTATCTCGCCGACACATCCCAGAGTTCAACTCAGTCATTTGCATTTCCTACGAGGCGTATGTTGTTTACACCAATCGACATGTACTTTTATCTAAGTAAAATGCACAGACAGGGAGAATAATTAGTAATTACGATTAACGGCGAGTCGTTCACCTTTCTATGGATTAAAATGTAACTTATTCTGTAGCTTAGAACCATAACTATTTTCAACTTCAGAGAAGGAAGAAGTTCTCAATTCGACAATAAGATAGAATTTTTTTTGTGTTTGTTACCTCAGAACCACGTCATTTATGGAGCGATTTTAAAATTTCTTTTTGTATTCGGTTTGATTTAGCCCTCATGTGGTCGTATATTAATTTCATTGGTATTGGACCTTGGGCTACGGAGACACTTCAGGGAGTTCCGGAAAATCAATAAAATAAATACAGAGCGAGATATTTGAAGTCATTAGATATTTGAAGTCATTAGAGCGAGATATTTGAAGTTAAAGTTTTGTTTCGCAGTAGCTGTTTTACGCGACGCGGTTCGTAGGTTCCATTCCCGCTGGACGAAAATGATGAGTCTGAAAAAAATCGTATCCGAGATCGAGGTTACTGTTTGGAAAACAAAAAATGTTTCTGTTTAACATTCAGATGATGTTTTATTCAGGCAATACCGATGAAATTAGTATGGGACCACATGGGAAGCATCAGCTTTCAAACAAGAAACAATCATCAGGAGTTCTGGGGTAACAAATATAAAAACCAAATACATTCGAATCTACACCCTCCTCCTTTTTTGAAGTCGGTTGAGAAAGGAATCCATGATCACGGGACAGACTGTCCGAAAAGGGATCGAAAAGACATGATGTTAAAAATAAACTTGATAAATCCGGAAAAATAGTTTCAGTTACAGCGTCATGTTATCAAGCCGTAATATAAATAATTATATTAATTAAAATTATCTAAAGAACCAATGCATGATAATTAAAAGGTTTATCAATAACATTCTACTAGTGTTGTTTTCCAAACATATCGACAAATAAAAACTTCGCGGACCCGGAAAATATGTATCAATAATTTAGCTTAATATTTATGTTTTTTTTTATACATATAAAATTATTAAATGTAGTTAATTATAACAATGGTATTTGGTTGGTCTTCGCGAGTCTGTTTTTAGTGTTGAGTTGTTGGGAATGTGAAACGGGAACGTCATTTTCTGTCATATAAATGTGGCCACTGATAAATTCTTTGGGAAACGCTTGTCTACATAAAGATTAACAATTTAAGGAAACTAAACATGATTGCAAAAATTAAAACATTAATTTTGGCACCAAAAATACGGCGCATTTATTCATTTATAATTTGAACATACTCACTGATATTCGCGCAATAAAAACAATTCTAATCGTTTATCGAAATCGTTTCAGCCGTATATAAGTTACGAGTCCAATACACAACCCTCCTTTTTCGGCTTAAGCGCCAGTCGGGTAAATAGGAGCTCATTCTCCTGAATTTAACTGTTTAATTAAACGCTAAACACTCTCGCCTAAAAGCGATCACTGCAACTTTATGACGAGTACGCCAATCGCCGTAAATTATCACCGATAAAGACAACGCTCGAGCAAGAATGCCAAAGAAATAGACTTTTGACAGAACGTAACAGTATTTTTCAGCTACAACCCAGGGCCGGATTTAGGGGAGGACAACCGGGTCAGTAGCCCCGGGGCACATGGAGACTTCAGAAAAAAAATCTAATTCAGACTAGTAAACAATAGTAAACAATTTTTCCTTTCATATTTTTTTTTCGCGTTTCACTTTTATCTACAGCACTTTGTACAAACATGATGACATTAAATATTAACAGAAATGAATGGAAAATAATTTGGGGTCTCTAAATCTGGCCCTGACAATCTGAGTTGAAATCCCGGGTCGCGTGGTGGACTACGCCCGGATAACGCTTTGGAGGGGGGGATGGGGAATTTATAGGTTGTAACATTAACTTTTAATTTTAACTGATAAGTTTGCATTTGACATTTTCTTGAGTCAATTAACTAATCAACTAACTAATCATCTGTCTTCTTTAACTAATCATCTGTCAAATGGCTTCTTGATCATTGTAATCGCTTAATTTGATTCTCAATTTGACAGATAATTAGTTAACTTCTACGACGATCGGTGTTTCAGAAACCGGGCGTTAGTTTGTTTTATTCCTTTATACTTAAAGTAACACTAATAGCGCTCGTCGATCAGTTATTATTTGGAAATATTAAATACCACGATAATAAAATGTTAATTAATAAATTTATCAATGAAAATAGTAATTAATATTTTTATCCTTATATTCTCCACGTCCATGTACAAGAGAAAACCATTTACAATTATTTTGTTATTAGTGCTAGTGTCTGCACAAATAGTAATATTTGAAATGTTAATTTTTGAAGATAAATTGACAAAAACGTTCGGCGCTGCGGGGTATGATTTAAATTAACATGGCCATAAGGCTGATTTTAATATACGCGATTAAGACAAAGAGGGTAAAAAAGGCGAAGACGCTGTTATATCAGAATAAACAACTTTTTATGTTAACCCTTGTCTGTCGTAATTTGATGCAACTGATAGATAACATAGTGTTCTCTATTAAAACGTGTTAACAAAAACGAATTTTCCAAATCCGTCTATGTATGACGGAGTTATGCCCAAACAAACAAAAAAATATAAACATCCGAATCGATAACCTCTTTCTTCTTGAAGTCGGTTAAATACCAGAGCGACGATCTGATTCACTTTATATTTCCTATTCGACTTTGAAGAGTTCCCTGGCATATGCTCAAAGACTAGATAATATTTCCAATCCAAAAAGAAAAAAAAAAGATTTTAAGTTGGCTTATAAGTGATGGAGTTGTGAGGTAAAAAAATTAAAAAAAATATAATCGAATTGAGAACCTTTTTGAAGTGAGTTCTGAAGGTCGCATGGGATCAACTGAACGTCGCAAGTCATTACGGTCGGTGCCGAAAACTAAACATGAAACTAAATTCTAAAACAGGCAACACGAGTTCCTTTCTTTATTTTTATACATTCAATCCATGAAAAAAGATTGATATCTTTAATTTAATCCATTCAGATTATTTTAAGATAGTGTATATTCGCCTAATTAAAAAAACTTACAAATTCGAAATGATTTTATTTATATTTTCTCTTTAGTTAACAAATAATTTTAAAAAAAATTAAGAAATAGTTTTAACGAAAAACAATTTTCCGAAATTTCCATATAATCCGTAAATAATATTTTCTCGACGACTGATTGACGGAAAATAGAAAAACAAAGGGGTCTACGGACCAAAACAAAACACTCACCCGTGTTCCGCAAACCGGACTAAAATAAACTTAAACTTTGGCTGCCGTCCACTGAGCCGCACAGTCCGGCGTTTCACGGGCGTTTTTCGGGCGTTTTTCGGGCGTCTGTTAACCGCGCGCGTGCGTTTGCAAGCAGTCGCCGCGAACGAGTGACTAATAACGCCTAGGCCGGCCGAGCGGACCTTTATATTTAAAATCGTGTTTGCGTTGTAAACAAAACGCCCCGCGATTTGATCTACATTATAATTGTTTCGTGCATTAACGCCGCACATAGCGGCAGTTGGCATTTCGGTGCAACTAAACTACATTGTGTAACTGTTATGACATATTTCTTTTATGTGAAAATAGGGCAAACGAGCAGGGGGCTCACCTGATGGTAAGTTATCACCGTCGCCCATGAAAATCTGCAATCTGCCGACGTCGGTGTTCCCATCCGATTATAACGTAGGCGTCTTCAAGGCAAGAGTGAATAGGCTTTTACTGAGCTAGCGCGCTTACCATCCACGGCTGCATCGCCACTTACCATCAGGTGGGATGGCAGTCAAGCGCTAGTTAGTTACATAAAAAAAAAAAAAAAAACACCGGGGGGGCTTAAAAATGCGTTGTCAGCCGTTAGGAACTTAACTTGTATAAAAGTAAAGTAAAGTAACAGTTTATACATGTCCCCCAGCAGTATCAGGGCATAGTCCACCACGCGGCCCCACTGCGGATTGGCGGACTTCACATATCTTCGAAAAATATTTTTTTGTTATTATTTCGAAAATATGCAGGTTTCCTCACGATGTTTTCGTTCACCGCTGAGTACGTGATAAGTCAGCTGTTAAAATAATTAACAATGTCATTGGTGCCAGCACCGGGAATCGAACTCAGGTTGCTCGAGCGTATTGAATTAAAGGCGAGCGCCCGGACACTGAGCTATCACGGCTCAGCTATGAGGCTTAACTTGTATAACTAAACTTAAATGTAGTAGGGCCACGCAATAGTCTTCGCTGTTGCACGAATGGGCAGGTCCGTCCGGGGAAGTACCCCAACCTCACAGAAGGCCGTCGTGGCAACGCATCTGCAGCCATACGGATGTTGCAAATGTTCATGGGCGGCGGTGATCCGTTAACATCAGGTGTACCGCCAGATCCCTTGCCACCTTCTCACGTTGAAAAAAAAAAACAAGCTTTCACTCAAAATTAAGGACTTACGCCCGGTTTCTGAAGCACTCATCACCGTAGATGTTAACTAATCAGCTGTCAAATGGCTTTTCAAATGTCATTTGAGTTGCCCAAAGGATGGTTTAACTTTCTGAATTGACTAGAATTATCATCTTAATGATGAGAATAATCAATTCAAACAGTTTAACGAGAAAAGGAAAACGAGACTGGTAGTCTTGTTTTCCTTTTATCGTTTGCTGATCATTGAGGTTTTGATCCATATGCGCCGTTTGACGCCTAATTGGGGCAGTGGATTGAACCAGTCCCTTGCCACAGAGGCTATAGGTTCGATCCCCACTACAGAAAATATTATACAACGAACGTATTGTTTGCGGTGTAAGTGGATATTTATATACATATTTACACAAAAGTATTTGAAATATATTTTTTTATCATTTACCTTACTTAATGATTAGCTTAGTTTGAAACTAGATGTTATCGTTTTAAAAATATGTCTAGAAATAAATATTAGTTTACTAATAAAGTACAATTTTATATAACAAAAACAATGCAGACTTCAATCATCTCACTCGCTGTAAATTTTCTGGAGGAGTTCCCTAGTATGTTTATATATTATATATATTCCTGAGACCGCAATGAAAGCAATGAAAGTTATATAAGACCTCAAGGAAGCTAAGCTGGACCCAATACAAAAAGAATTTTCAAGATTGGTTCGTAAATGAAGAAGTTCTGAGGTAACAAACATAAACCAAAACATACAACCGAACTGAGAGCCTACTGCTTTTTTGGTTGAAAAGTTGTGATTATTCCATGAAAGGAATACAAATAACTGAACTCATTAATAATTCAAGTCAAGGATTTGAAGCAACTACCCCAAATCGCATGTTAATGTTCCTAGCTACTAGGCTATCATAAAAAATAACTCATCGTCATCCTCCTGCCCTTATCTCACCTAGGTGGGGTCGGCACAGCATGTGAATAATGTTGTAAACGGTTTTGACTATGGTAACCTACCGTCTGCATGACCTGAACCATTGGGAAACAAACACCCAGATCCGGTACAATTGTCTACAGCCCACACAAATACTTATCCCGTGTGGGAATCGAACCCACGACCCCCGATGCCATAGCTTAGCTTAGCAACAGTGCCACCGAGCCATAGCTTAAAAAAATTTACTGAATGAATGATTCTTCTTCACCTAAATTCAACCTAAAGTACAAACGGCGTTAGGTTCAAAATTAAATAAACATAAGTGAATTATTATAAAAAAATAAGTGAATTATTACCGATTCTAATTATAAGGGACATACGTCATTATCCTAATTAGTTATGCAATAGCTAAGACGGCTTACTTTTTTCTACATACATATAATTAACCGGCTCATTATGGACTTGTGTCAATGGAAATTTTATGAAAAAACTCTTCGGTGATTTATATTTATACAATTAACCCATAACAATAAATATTTTAAAAATGTTATGTGGATATCGTGTGTTTAATTTACTCTAATTTTCGCATATGTCATTCCACTTGCCGTGATGGCTTATTGTCCGGGCGCTCGCTTAATCCTTACTAATATTATAAACGCGAATGTTTGTATGTATGGATGTTTGCTACTCTTTCACGCAAATACTACTGAATGGATTTTAATGAAACTTTACAATAATATAGCTTATACATCAGAATAAGACATAGGCTATAATTTATATACTATCATACTATTTATATTTTATGTATTACTATATTTCTGTCTGAATGTTACTTCAGCCTATTTTACGCAGACGTAGTCGCGGGCACCAGCTAGTTTAATATAATCGAGCAACCTGAGTTCGATCCCCGGTGCCGATGCCAATGAAACTGTAAATTTTAAGAGCTGACTATGACTTGCTCAGCTTTAAAGGAAACCATCGTGACGAAACCTGCATGTTTTCGAAATAATAACGAAAATAATATTTCGAACATATGTGAAGTCTGCCAATCCGCAGTGGGTTCGCGTGGTGGACTATGCCCTGATAGACTCTGTACAGAGCAGGCCTATACCCATCTGTGGGACTTGTATGGCTGCTACTTTACTTTTTACTTTTTAAAAAATATTTCCGGCGTTTGTTCCATTGTTTTTCTGTCCACCACAATGAGAGAATCTAACGATACAACACGTTTTATTACAAAAAACGTGGAAAAATGCGAAACAAGCCGCTATAAAAACTTAGGATGTTTATAGATTATTATATTTTTATTTTTTAACCGATTCACTTTCCATCTAAAGACTAAATCCCAAAGTAACTGACAGACACAGAAAGCCCATACCTTCCCCCACGTCTAAAGAAGAGCCACCCACTATGTTGAATGCAGAGAGGTATACGTTTTGAGTTTCGTATGGCAAGTGAGATTATCTCAGTAATCTCACTTGCCATACGAAACTCAAAACTGAAACCCACTGAATCTTGAGGGTTCGCTATACAAACGCAATCAATTAATTCGTATTTCATATGTCTCCTCAGCTTAGATTAAAAAATTCCGACGTGCAATACCCTGCAGGTGTGTTATATCAAAACTGTAATTAATATATTATGCAAATAAAATTTGCAACATACAAAATAAATATGGAAAAATCCAAAACAAAAGATTAAGGTCTTAACTTTACAGGTGCTGCGCCCACCCAAAACACTTCGTCTGTTGCACGAATGGGCAGGTCTGCGTAAGTACCAGAACTTCACAGAAGACCGGCGTGAGGTGTGTCATACTTCTGCTTTCGTCTGGTGAGTGAGGTGGCAGAAGCCCGCTTTATTAAATGCCAACGCATCTGCAACCCCACGGGTGTTCCAAATGTCCACTGGCGACTGTTATCAATTAACATCAGGTGAACCGCCAGGTCCCTTGCCACCTACCTGTCCCAGTTACTGCTGCATTTAAGTGATTTTTACACAGCTAGTAAGTAAAAATGGATTTAATTTTATATGTTGCGAAATAGTATACGCCAAGTTTCCTCTAACAAAAATGTAGAATGTAAATATTTATAATATATATGTTTATCTGCGTGTGTATGTACATATGTAAATACGGATGTACTTTTTTGTGTATATATATGTATGTATAATTGTATGTATCTGCTTTAATCATATATTATGTATATCCCTATTGCACCGCCTAAAAAATTTGGTTTGAAAAATTTGGCTCCGGCCACCTCACTAACCAGACGAAACGCGAAAGTATTTGTCATACTTCCACTTTACACAGGTCTTCTGTGAGGTCGTGGTACTTACCCGGACGGGCCTGCCCATTCGTGCAACAGCCGAGGCTGCTGCGTGGCCCTACCACCGTTAAAAAATTCTATTGTCTATTGTTACTTCTATGTATACTCTTATTTGTGGTGGTTCATTCATTCATTCAATGTGGACCTTTTTAATCTGTTACCACCTATTTACCTCGTACCGATATGAATTTTGGGAGCGTTACCGGCGTGCCAATTTGGATAGCTTCCGAAGCAACGGAAGATTATAACAGCTCGTTACGTATTATCAACGAGTCGGTAGCATAGTTGCTAAGCTATCGCCTTCGACGTCGGAGGTCGTGCGTACGATTCCTGCACGGAAAAAGTACCGTAAAGTTCTGGGCGTTCCGAAGCAAGGGTGACGTCAGGCAGGCGGGTGGCTGGTCGTAAAAACCTAGTTAACCACAAAAAACATGACTCACGGGTGTGTCAAACCCCCCCCCCCCCCCCCCCCCCCATATAGGCAGGACAATATGCTGATCTGTAAAGTAACAAGTAGAATATAATTTAAAAATGTAAAAAACCCGACTGCGTCTCTGTGTAATTTTTTATCTTGATATACCCTGTGTCACTCTCACAGTAAATACGAATCTATTGACACTTCTCAAGCTACAATCCACCAAGCCGTTCAGGCTGTAGAGCGTGCCAAACAATTATACACACATACATACATACTCTCGAAAAACATAACCCTCCTTCTGGCGTACTCGGGTAAATAGTACTGGTGATACTCACGTAGGGTAGAATAAGACTATTATACCGGTATTTTATATTGTAAACTGATATCCTTGAAAAAGAGCAACTGTTGAGTTTCTTGCCGGTCTCTCCTCAACAGAAACTTCTTTCCGAAC